AGTCATCAGCATACGAAGTGTTCGTGATCATGGGCGCGCCGATGGGGTACGTGCCGCAATGTATCCTGTATATAGCCATTCTTTACTTGAAATTTGCAGTTCTGCGATGAAAGTATCAAATTGTGGGTTTTTTTTTATAGAAAAAGGAGAAGTGGCAATTCCTTGGTGACAAAGAGGAACGCTCAAAGGAAGGATCCTACATCGGCAAGTGTTTCTCTGCAGCTTTCACTTTTTTTCATTAAAGGTCTCGTTTACAGTTTTCCACACTATATACGACCACGAACTTTTCCAAATGGACTCTATTCCGAAGGGACATACGACGGAGTACAGAAATCATTTCTACTCTATACTGAACGGTAACGAGCGATTAAGTGAGGTAAGCTTCTGTTTTCAAAAACTTCCCAGTACACGCCTTTTCGCTGTGCCATCATCCCAGAAATTAAGCGGTTGATTTGGGCATATGTCAAGCAAGGTTTAGATTTGAAGCAAAATTGTTGGTAGTTGAATTTGTGTCTGATCTGTGTAGTCACACGGGAATTGGGTGATTTATGAGTGTGATTTTGACAGATAAGTGCTCAATATCTGAATGGTACGAAATTGTTTAACAACGTTCTATGTGGTGAGGTTATCTGAAACTTAATAGAAGAATCAAAGTTTACTTATTTTGCTTGGTGACTTCGAAATTACTCTAGATGCAGTTGCTTCATGGAAACACAATTGCCGTTCGACTAGGTGTGCATTCACTTTTCATACTCATTTTTTACAAAATGTTCATGTCATTGAAGAGAAAACGAGTTAGAGCTGGACTGCTACTTTCATAAGGCAAATCTTTGTTAATCTGAAAAAAAAATTTTGACATGGTTTCTTCAAGTAAAACATATATTTTGCCCTCTGAAAGTTCGTATTTCTTCTAATACTTTTTATGTACGTGTTCATGTCAATAGGAGGAAGAGTAATGAAATGATATGAAATTCAAGGCTTAGCAAAACCTTCGCCAAACTACAGCATGTTCGAATTCGTGACCCACATTGTTCAAATTCTGTAAATGTGTGATCAATGAGCACGAAAAACTTGGGTAGGAATGGGTATGCGCGAAAAGTCTATGTGGTGTGCGCGGCACACATAGCTGCCACGATGTCCTGCAAAAAGTAGCATGCATAATAGTTGCCGCCCTGTCGCAACTGGATTGTACAAGTTCTGCTTTGTCTGAAATCTCTGTGAGTTTGATTCTCCTGGATAGTTAACCACCATAAGAAAAGGGGAACGGTTAAACTTCTGCACATTGAACATAGCACTCTTTCTTACGATTTTTCTTTCTTTTCCCTGATAGGTGTGTGGTAGGTTAGCAGAGATTTTTAGAGCTACCTGCTTGAGTGTGGTCTTTTTTGCGTTCAAGGCTATTGTTTCTGCTCGTTTTCAGCTGTTTTTCTCAAAAGAGGCACGGGAGTTGCGTGAAAAAAGGAAGTGGTCGGATCGATATTATGGGGGCCATCTGCGAAGGCTAGATGAATCTACCGTAGAACGAGTGTTCCGCAAGCTGAAACCTCTATATCGTAGTAACATTGATTTCATTGCCTTATCCAATACAAGGATGCAGGAATTCAAATACTTGGTGAGGGAAGTTTGCTACTCATTCACATAATTTTGCATCACTCTAGATCCTACGTTTTCAGCATGAAATTGCCGAAAGGAAACGCGTTGAACAACAGCAGGAAGCTCTCGAACTTGAAGTTGAGGTGGGTCTTGTTTCCTCTGTGGTCCACTATTCCCACTGTTCCCGCAATTTTTCACTGTTATATGGTACTGTTGTGCTGTTCATTAGACTAAAGATAATTTAATTAAGTTGACAACTGCACCCGAGCTCGTTGATCTGGAAGTAAGAAGGCGGCGTATTGCTGCTGAATTTACAAAGGACTCCAGTAATCCCAAAGTTCTAGATGAATTCCTCAAGATAAACGTTTGTGTATTTTTTTGCATAGTGATCATTATCGCACACTAGCTCGCTACGAACTCACTTTATTTAAGGAAGAAATTTTCAATGACGGTCGTCCCAGTGGTTCGAGTGGCGATCGAAGGGCTCTCGTTGATCGCCAGCTTTCCATAATTGAGCAAGTGTGTTCCACAAAGCTTTTTTCATAAACTTCTATCTCTTCTATCACTTGTTTAGGCAATAACTTGCAATCCTCGGAAAGCTGAGTTTCGTTTGAAAAAGCTGCAGTTCTTGAAGGAAAAGCTACCAAGTAACGAACTGCTGTCGCAGTGGGAAAAGGTATGTTTAGTTCACTCTCTATGCCTTTTGATGTTTTCTGTTTTTTAACGAGAAATCCGGCAGATGTTGCCGCTATGCTTCCTTTTCTTTAGATTTTGAATGCCTTTGTCAATAATTGCTCGATGTGGGAGAAATATTTGGATTTCATACAATACGATATGGTGCTGTATTCGACCGATGTTTTGGTCAGTTCAAAACCTTTACATTACATTGCTTTTGATTGTACTAATTTCGTTCGATTAAGGAAAGAGCTTTCGATCGATGCTTCGCCAAACTGAGCGACATTCTTAACGGAGTGTTCATGTAAGCTGCTTTACTTTTGGTTTTTACGGGTGAGATATGGAGATTCTTCTGCAGTCATCGGGGTGTGCCTTGAGTTTGACCAGCCATGAGCGGATATTCGTAATTCGGCACCGAGGCAGCCTAATAGCTAGAATAATAATGAGGATGAGCTTTGCTATTGTGGATGAGTCTATAGAGCGGCCACAAATCACGGTAACAAGAGCCGCCTCATGCATGTCCTAAACCGAGGTAATTCAAACCGTAGTTTGTAGAGTATCGGCAAACCTCTCAAGTTGAAGGCTAATAAGTTCAGAAAAGGCCCAAATCCTAAGTGCTTGTTAGGGATAAATTCGCCGTTAACTAAACGGCCGCGGTGTATCTGTTGCCCGGACAACCTCTTTTCTTTCTCCACTGCAAACGCCGGCTAGTTTGGGAAGTGACCTCGTTATTCTCTATTAACTTTCAATTAATATAATTGTATTTTCCGGTTCTATTTGTTTAGCTATAAAGATTATCCATGATCTATTCATCTTGTTACCGTAATTTGTGGCCACCCTGTATACATATTCATGTCATCTCTTTCTGTTGTTTCATGATTACTCTGTGAACATGGCAGTATACCGTCGTTTGTTAGTATTTTGGTGCGTATCCTTCCCAAGATAGCATTGAATTGCGCAAACTTTGAGTGGTAACGCTTGTGCAACGCCAATCCTATCGAGCTCTTTTGCGGTTTCAGTGATGTTGACCTCTTCTTTTTAAATTGAGGATGTATCACGGGTTGTGTTTTCAACGTGACATAACGGAATAGCGAGCTTGTTACACATTCCATGTTGTTTTCACCCGTGAAGATCTATGACGTGACCATCTCAGGTCAGAAACATATAATTAAACAATTGCAAAGTGGGAGGATGACCTCTTGCACCCACCTAACTTCTTCTTGATCCAGATTTTCATTTTCAAACACACTCTCGGCACACACACTGCCAGCCATTCTTGAAATGGTGGGCTTTTGGACGCTGAACGTTGTTTGTTCAGGTAGTTGCCGAAAATGGGGATTATCTGAATAGTTGTTTTTTATTGAAGTAAACGCTCGCAAGTTATATGTACCGAAACGACTTGTTCATTGAAACATTGCAGATCGCACAAACCAGAAGAAAACACGGAGGTTTTCCTTTTGCACATGTACGTCAGAAGGCTATTGTGGTGGATGGAACGTGGCTACACAAATCGCGCAGTCGCTAGCGTTCAGGTGAGATGGATCTCATTCTTGATTCGTTGATCATAGTTGTCTGTAGCTTGTTATTTACAAATTTAAGCTGAACATGTGTCTCGTTTTGCGTCATTTCTCTTCGACTTTATGTTTCTCTTTCTACTAGTCCTTAGTGTAAAACTTAATAGCGCTGTACAACGGTTGCGTTCAAGTCCTTTAATTTCTGGAATTATTCTGCTTCCTGTTGAAAGCCATCGATAGAATGCGTCCTCTTTTGGCCTAACGCGTAAGGGCGCAAATTGATTACTACGGGATGATTCCGAGTGAGAAATGTGCAATCAGTTGCTTCCCGAAGGAAAACGGTCTAAGGGTGCGCTCGTACTTTGCGACTGCCTAGCACTTCGTTTGTAGTTCGAGTGTGCAGTGGAGTACGTATGGATAGTGCATCGTATCCATGGCATAATTTCACGTTCGCAGGTTTGTACGTTTGGCTACTTCACTTGAACTGCAACACGCAAAGCATGACCGCGTCTTAAAGACTTTCAGTGGGTCACACTCTATTGAACACTTAGTGTTGTTATCCGTGTCTTAAGGTTTTTTGTAGACTTCTTTAATTAGTAATTATCATTTATAACAGCAAACCCGCCTAAATAACACTAGAGCAGTTATGTTTTGAGGAGGCACAGCTGGCAAGTAGCGCCATTCGTCGCAGTCGTTGTCCAGGATTTCAGTTCTGGATCGCACGTCGCCCTATCCAACCAAGCGTTCCATCCTTCTGAGCGGTCATTTGATTGGTGGATATTTTTCTGAGAGATGGGATGAAAATACTGACTTGCGCTTCTCTCAAAAGTCGTTCTAAGGCGAATCCGTTCAAAATGCATCTGGTTTTAATGGCAGTAGAGTAAGTAATGCATCCCAAGTAGGAGTTGAACATCGCCCAATGGTTTATCCCCGGCATTCCCTTCCGCATCTTGCCTGCCTAGACTTGGAGAAGTTCCGCGACCTTCCATGGTACGCCTTTGTTGTTCACTGCAGCATGAATCTTATAAATTATTGGTCTGGTGTTTTGTCATTATCATTCTTTACGTTGAGCAGTGCTCATCCTTATTCTTGTGTATTTGCATCAGTCTTCGACAATTTTTTCATCGCAATTTGGTTATTAAAAATCACGTAGAATTTACTCATTCACAGGCAAGCGTGGAGTATAATCTTCGAAGCCCCGGCATCTCTCGCGAACGCTCCTGAGAAACAAAAACTTGAAGCATTTGAGGAGTTCTGGAATAGCGGTGTACCTCGTTTCGGGGACCAACACTCTGAAGGTTTGCCAATTTTCCAATTTAAATCACTTTTTACGTCCTCGTCTTACATGTACAGTCTGCGCTACAAATCGTACATTTATCATTGATTTGTCCCTAATTTTGTTAAGGATGGGACAGCTACGTTAACGTGCGTGAAAGCCTGGAAGAGCTCAGGAGATCTGAGGTTGTAGAAAGAGAATTGCAGGCGGAGCAGAGTCTCATGGTAGAGGAAAGGTAGGTTATTCATGTCATAAAAGCATCATTCTTCAAATTTTGTTTAGCTTCGTACATCAATTGTTGATGTTACCCGTAATGTATAGTTCGGCAGAGCTGGAAATCTTATCAAAATATAGTCGAAAAGGTTTTATCACCATTGAGAGCAATAAATATAGGAAATTTCCGAATAATCAAGCTTTTTGACTTTTTTGTTACTGCAGCAGTTTCTAAAAAAAGAAATATGTAGAGAAATGTCTCACCATCGGTTTATGATTTACTGGTGTTTTTAAGTCAACAAAAAAATGTTTTGAGACAACATCTAATTGTAAGAAGGAGTCATTGATCTGATCTCTTCTCTTGTCAGCATCTGAACATTTCCCATTAACTTGCTTTTATCGTTTTGATTTTAATTCTTCCATTTTGCAATCTTCAGTTTTCTGCCTAAGCCTTTGCATCTTCCTCTTTTCGCAGCTCCCTCTCATTTCCTGCGCTATTGTGGAGGTCTTCCACTTCGTTTTGGAGTTTTGTCATTTTGTGGTTTTGGCAGTAATGATTGACAGCTGACGAGCGTTGTGTGGCTCGATTTGGCGTTTTGCAGTTGATGTTGTTTCTCATTGTTATATTGGTACAAGCGATAATCCCTCGTATTATGACGGTGTCTTGCTGGGCTGTGCCTAGTGAGTGGCTTTGTTGTAAAGTTGTCTTGCTGGTCCATTCGCTAGCGCATCCTTATTCAGTTTCATTTTGTAGTGTTTCTTTCGTTCATAAGTTCTTTTTGTGCATTGTATGTTGTGGGGGGGCTGCGGGGATGGGGGTCAGAACTGCTGTTTATCCCCTTTCGGGTGCTATGGCTTGCTTGTTGGCGCAGTTTAGTATTGGGTAAGGGAGTTAAACCAGTGGCTTGTCGGAGGCCCTGTAGTGCGTAGCTGCTTAACGTGCTACAAAGGGGCAGGACTGTGGTTACTGTTAATAAGAAATGGAGATTGTACGACATACGCGTAACTTTCGATCTGATTTTGTGAAGCTGTTCTTGTAGTTACAGACTTTTCACGCGAAGTCCTTTTAGAGGATTGATAGTAACACTAGAGGGAACGAGGTGGCGGTGGTCAGAGGCCAGAGTTTCGTAGAAGTTGGCGTGAAGGAGTGGATCCAGGCAGGTTCATCTATTATTTGCACAGGCAGGGAGGAGGCTGCTTTAGAAGTACGCTGGGGCAAAGTGTCGCTTATTTCTCTAGCGACTTTTCGTCGACTTTAGGAGGAAGGGCGTTGTACGATGTGGGGTCTGCTGCGTCTTTTTTTGGCCAGCAGCTACAATTCAAAGGGCTTCAAGTAATTATCGACAGCTGTAGCATTTGCATTCTGCAGCTTTATCTCATTGTTATATTTGATTACAAGCGAAATCCTCACAATGACGGTGTCTTCTGCTGTCGCCAAGTGTGGTTTGTTCACATTCCTTTGCTGTCATTCGCTTAGGCATCCTATTCCAGTTTCATTTTTAGTTTTTCTTTCGTTTCATAAGTTTCTTTTTTCATTGTAGTTCGCGATGCGAAACCTTTTTCATCTATTCCTTCTAATCTGCTTCGCAGCTTATATACAGTAGCGGTCAAAAGTCTTCGCCGAAATTGTTTTTCGACTGTAACTTTTTTTCCGCTGAATCAAATCAATTCAAATTTTAATATGTTTTAGAGATAGTCCTACTTCACTTAAACGGCATATTTGTTTCGGATTGAGAAAGAATTAAGAATGGAAAAAATCATTTCACTAGAAATTCTCGCGTATGAGCAAATTCCAAGTAGGTTTCAAATTACTCTAGCAAGCTTACAATTCAACAAAACAATCTTACGCATGATGAATAACACTGGGCAGGTCCAATACTTTGTTAATGATCTTCTGGGTCGCTGAAATACTAACAAGGCCTAAGTAAGGAATCAGTCATTGAATGCAGTGTCTACAAGGGCAGCTTCCTCCACTTCTCTTGAACTTTGACGAGTTTCTCGCCCATATTTCCGGCTCTTATTTCACCAAAGGTATCCCTAGTCTTCCCATAATGTTTCGATGGCGCTCGGGACATTGGTGTGAATTGTTCCCTTCGTTGAAAGCGCGCCATGCTGTCGAAACCAATCCTTCACAGTGAAGGTGCGATGCTTTTGGTCGCTCTATAGCTAGAAGGCGAACTCAGTCACGTACAGTTTCATACGAGCGATACGAAACTCCTTCTAGAATCTATCTGATACGTCGGCATTCACCACTTCTCTAATCCTGTGCAGTTGTAAAACTTCTTTTACGGACTACCACACGCGAGCCTCCGCCAAGTTTTACATACGGCAGTTAATTCCTTGGATCGAAACGTTTTCCTCAGGACCGCACACATTCCTATTTCAGTCGCCGGCAAACATCTTGAATTACACTCTCGTTGGTCCGCAGGACGTTGTAGCCCTATGGGGATCCCCACTTTAGGTGTGCGTAAGCCCATTTCGCCCCCGACCATTTCACCGCCGACTAACTTCGCAGTATTCGCAATCATGTGAAGGCAGCCTATACAGTTGGGTTCTAGAAGGAGTTCTTATCCACATGTATGACAGTTGGTCAAAACTGAGCTCGCCTTCTAGCATTAGTGCGACCAAAAGCATCGCACCTTCACTGTGAAGGAGTGGCTTCGCCAGCATGGCGCGCTTTCAACGAAGGGAACAATTCACACCAATGTCCCGAGCGCCATCGAAACATTATGGGAAAGAGTAGGGATACCTTTGGTGGAAATAAGAGCCGGAAATATGGGCGAGAAACTCGTCAAAGTTCAAGAGAAGTGGAGGAAGCTGCCCTTGTAGACACTGCATTCAATGACTGATTCCTTACTTAGGCCTTGTTAGTATTTCAGCGTACCCAGAAGATCATTAACAAAGTATTGGACCTGCCCAGTGTTATTCATCATGCGTAAGATTGTTTTGTTGAATTGTAAGCTTGCTAGAGTAATTTGAAACCTACTTGGAATTTGCTCATACGCGAGAATTTCTAGTGAAATGATTTTTTCCATTCTTAATTCTCTCAATCCGAAACAAATATGCCGTTTAAGTGAAGTAGGACTATCTCTAAAACATATTAAAATTTGAATTGATTTGATTCAGCGGAAAAAAAGTTACAGTCGAAAAACAATTTCGGCGAAGACTTTTGACCGCTACTGTATGTGAAGTTTACACCAGTTTTGGTCGGACCCCTAGCTCAATTCTTTACGCGCTACAAACAGGCAGGACTGTGTTACTGTATAAGAAAGGAAACTTGTACGATATCGGTAACTTTTGACTGATTTGTAAGCTGTCTGTAGTTGCAGACTTTTCAGTCGAGTCACTTTTAACAGGATTGATAGAACACTAGTTGGGACAGCCGTGCCAGAGGCAGAGTTTCAAAAGTTTCGAAGAGGATCCAGCACGTTTCATCATATTTGCACAGGCACGAGGCTCATAGAAGTAGCACCTGCAAAATGTCGCTATGTCTCACGTCTTCTCGTTCGACTAGAAGAAGGCCTTGGAC